TATTTTTTACAACATGACTTTCAATGTTTACAATTGTTTTCCACTCTGTATATAGTCTATAATATGTTTAATCAATATCCTCTTGGCATATATTTAGATGACATGTAATTTTAATTATTATAAATAGTACCACTACAACATCAGTAGTGCTAATTTTCCACACATATTCATGACTGTTTGCTTGCAATGAATTCCCAGAAATAGAATTGCTGGGCTAACGAATGTATAAATTTAAAGGTTTTTTTTTAATATGCATTAATTGCTTAGTTTTAATTTACTTTAATTAAAGAACTGGGAGCCCTACAGATTGAGTCACAGTCCCAGATTCCAACTAAGCAAAGATTCCCCTATCTAAAATTCACTCTAATTAATCCTGCTGGAATTTAAAGTTTATTTAAAATCTACTGGGTACCTGCTCTGCTAAAGAGCTTCAGAGTGACTGTGTGCCTGCCTGGACCTAATTCCTGACTCTTGTTTACAAGCACCATGCCTGTGCCTCAGTGTCCCCACCTGTGGAACAGGGCTGAGTGCTTCCCTGTCTCGTGGGTTAAGTTAGACAATAACTGTAATTCACTAAAAGTAACCCTGCCCTACAAGAAGATTTCAATACGTGGTATCATTATGGACAAATAAATGACTAGGTCACACATTTTCCTCTTGAAAAGCTAAAAGCTCAGTGAATTTTTTCAGTTATAATTAGGCAGTAAACATCTTCAAACCAGAAGCTGAGCCTTCACAGAATAGTTTAGTTTTTAGCAAGAAAGAGTCCAGGCTGGCCTCAAACTTGCTATGCCCCTAAGAGACCCTGAAGTTTGGGTCCTCCTGTCTCACCTCACACCTGGCAACTCACCGTTGTAAGTACAGTACTACCAAACCAAAGGAGCTGAAACAAGACCAAGTAATGGGAATGTGGCTGGTCTTGGAAGTAAGATGCCAGATCAGGCACAGGGTTCTGGTGGCAAAACCAGCTTTCTTATTGTATGCTGAACAACGGGGTATGGTCCAAGGTGAGGTCCCATGATTATTGATGCCTAAAACTAGTAGACACGTTGATTTTGAGAATCAAAGCTCATGCCCTCTTCCCTGAGCCCCATACCTTCTACCTGGGCAGGTAGGACATCGAGCTGATCTAGTCTTGTAATCCCACAATCTTATGACAAGCCCTACAATCCCAGCACTAGGGAGACTGAGGCGAGAAGACTTCCATGACTTCCAGGCTAATTTGGGCTATTCAATATGTTCCAGGCCAGCCCAGGCTACAATGTGAGACTCTGCCTCAAAACCAAGCAAGCAGATTTTCAAAAGCAAAAATTGAATCAATCAGGATATCAAGCTGCCCTTGGTGAGTTTACCTTCTCCACCAACTCCAAAGCCCCCAATTAAATTACTCACAGAAACAGCTGCCAGTGGCTGGGCTAAGTGCTTCTCACAGGTTTCTTTATTCAAACCTCAGCTAAGCTACCTGGAGGACCAGTTACCAATGCTCTCTCCTGCCCCAATATCCCAACTTTCAAGGTCCTATTTTCCACAATAGACTTATGTTCAATGGCTCTTTAAAGCTCTTCTAAGGATGGTGAAACTTTTTTTTTAATTATCTCACCTAAGATTTAAGCACCCAAAAATAGCTGTACAGCATCCAAACTGTATGAGGCTAGACTTGATAGAGCTGCTAAGAATAAGAAATGGGAACCAGGTGCAAGTATTCATTCTCATAAAGCTAAAGGCCAAATTCCAAGCTCCAAGTCATATTGCTGCAAGATTTTGAATTGTTCCAAAGCTTTTAATAAACTACTTGTGAAAAAAAAGGTGAGAATAATTACTACCCAGCTGTCAAAGGCTGTGCAATTAAAATAAACTTTCTAATTAAAATGAATAAATGGGTGAATCGGAACCATCAGAATTTCATTGCTCTTCCAATCAGTTCAGGGTTAGACGGAGGTTAGACTGAGGCTGGACCGCTTACAAAGGCGATCTGCATCTATGAGGGGGAAGCAAGAATGGTCCTAACAAGCAGCCGAAAAGAATCAGCAGAACTCTAGTGAAAGCACCATGTACTCAAGGAAGAACAGCCTTATGTGTGTGTGTTTATGTACACACACACACACACAAACACATGCATACATATGCGTGTATGTGTTTATACTCACATATACATTTGCACACATCCACATGACACATGCATATCACACACACACACACACACACACACACACACACACACACACACAACTATACTCTGCATGCATGGTGGTGCATGAATGTCATAAAAGTTCTGGGAGATAGAGGCAAGAAGGTTTTGAGTTCAAGGCCAGCCTGTGCATGCACCACCATGCATGCAGAGTATAGTTTTTTGTCTTGTCTTGTTTTGTTTTGCTTTTGTGTGTGTGTGTGGGGGTGTGTGTGTGTGTGTGTGTGTGTGTGTGTGATATGTGTCATGTGGATGTATGCAAACGTATGTGAGTGTAAACACATATACATGTGTGGTATATGTGTGTGTGCACGTGCATGCATATGCTCACACATGTACATGTAAGGGGTTAGGGGTTGACAGTAATGTCTTCTGTTTTGCTCTCTACCTTCTTTTGAGATAAGGACTCTCAGTGAACCAGAAGTTCACCAATTCTGCTAGACAAGTTGGGGAGAAAGCCCCGGGACTGTGCTATCTCCGCTCCCTCGGTGCTGGGAATACGGATGAATGCTTCCACATCGGTGGAATTCAGACCCAGTACCTCATGCTTGCATAGCAGCGCTGGACTGACTGACATGGCCCCAGCTCTGCAGGCTTTTTTTTTTTCTTCTGTTCTTCCCTGGGCCTGGTCACCCTTCCTCCACTCCAGCAGTGTGACTCTCTGGGCCAACTGCTCCACCTCTACTGACCATGTGGCAGGAGTATTTCCATTCCTCAGAAATTCCATTTCCAGAAAGTCAAAGCCCATAATTCTAAATGAAAAAAAAATAATTCAAAATATTTTCCAGACCATTTATGAACTGGCAGGCAAGACTGTTGTATGTAGACAAAACTTCCTTCAGGGCTTAAAACTAATGGTGTTCCTTCAAAATATTTATGTTTAGAGGAAAAGATCACAAAGAAGAAATAGAAAAAAATCTAATCTGTAATGTGTTAAAGTTGAGTTCATCATGAGAGATTAAATATAAGTCTTTTGTAAGTTATGCTTTAACTTTTGCTTTTGTTCAAACTAGAATAAAAGTTACAAGTAAAAATAAAAGTATTTAAATATAAATAGATATATTTATGTAAATATTTATATAAGGTATAAATATAAATAGAAGTTATTCACGGAGCTTCTTAGATTTGAGAAAACTTCAGTTTTAGATGGAACATTTTCATCTCCCCTTTCTGTCTTTAATATATATTTTTATTTTCGATGGATACAATTATACAGACTCACAGACTACAATATTCTTTTCTGTTTCATTCTTATCTTTCTCTCATTTTCTATTTTTGTGGTACCGGATTCAAATCTAGGGCCCATGAATGCTTAGGCAAGTGTCTATCACTGAGCCACACTCCAGCCCTGGAGTTGTTTTCAACGCATGCAGAATGACTAGATCAGGGTGACTGGCAAATTTCTCACCTCCAGCACACAGCATTCATGCTGAGGACATTCTAGATCCCTCCCTACCTGCAGTTTAAAAATGGGATTCTTAAAAATAGAATTGCTGCCAATCAGTTACCCAACTGTGTTAGAGAACAATATTATTTTTTTCTGTCTAGCCCGCCAACTGTTCTCTCTGCAAACTCCCTTTCCGAGGCTCTCACACTCACTCTCTTCTCATAGACAGTAGCTTTCATAGCTCACTCATAAATAACAGGCAATATCTGCTTCTGTGTTGACGGAAACATTTACGTGACTTACCTGTAACTCTGTGGTTAAACACAGGGGAAGATCTGATAGCTATCTCACAAATGAAGATACACAAGCATCCAACAGAACATGCTCTGCATCACCTACAGGCTACCGCTTGTGTCATAAGTGATTTCTGAACATCAAAATGTTGAAAGAGCTAAGGCTGGACCCTATATGTTGCTACTGGAAGATGGTGAAGCTTGAAGAGCTGGGGTCCAGCAGGAGGTCTTCGGGTCATTGGGGCCATGCTCTTGAAGTGTCTTGTGGGAGCCAGCTCCCCCTCTTTCTCTCTCTACTCCCCACCATAAGATGATCAGTCTTATCCCACTGTGTGCTTCCTGTCATGACGTGTTGATCTGCACAGCCCCAAAGCAACAAAGCCCAAAGAGACCCGGTCTTTTTATAATTCAATTATCGCAGGCTCCAGTTAGAGTAACAGGAAGCTGACAGAAAATACAAAAGAAAAACCACAATATCATAGGACCACAAAAAAAATTGACAGGTTGGTGAGCAGGCACACCAATTACTTTGCTCACCTATTGTTGGTGAGAGTGCAAAGTGGTTGGATTTGGGCATCTTGACAGTTTGTTATGAACAGTGATGACTGATACAATAATGCATACATATCTGTAAAATGGTATGCTGGGCAACAGAAGGCAGACCCAACACACAGACTGTGTGGCCCAGTTAACACAAAACACTTAGGTAGGATGAATCTCATCTGCAGGAACAGGCAACAGATCCACAGTAACCTTGGGATAAGGAATTGTGCATGTGTGTGTGCGTGCGTGTGTGTGTGTGTGTGTGTGTGTGTGTGTGTGTGTGTGTGTACATATACTGGGGACAGAAACATTTTATATTATTTTATATTTTGATCATGCTGGTAGTTACACCAAAATATAAATTTCACTAAATGCACTTGTGTATATAGAAAATATGACCAGGTCATTGTATATAAACTATATTCCACAAACGTTTACTGCTCAAGTCCTTAATTTAAACTGCTTTCTGGACTAAACGAGACTCCACAGAAGGGTCTGCAGGCAGGCTTTCACACGCAGAACTCCAAGGCTGTTCAGGATCCTGTAAGAAACGTACAATTCCTTCTCTGACCCACTTGCCCCGACTCACCAGTGAGGGCTCCTCCCAGGCTCCCTCGCCGCAGCTGCTTCCCGTCCCCACTCAGCTGTCTCTTATACTTCAGCGACTTTCCAAGGCCACAAGCCACATCTGGGTTGCTGCATTTCCGAAACGGCATGGGTGGTGGAGATAGTATGTGGTCGAGCTGTGAAGAGAAGGACAGTGGCATCATTCTTGGGGACACTCAACACAATGGATTCTCAGGCTCTCATCTTTGCACCTCCTTTTCTAAACACATTCCGTCCAACCTTGTTTTTAATTTTCCTAGTTCGGAAAGTTCTAGGTTTCATTCTTGTGCCTTCTTTCTGAGAGTCAGTGTTGCTCATTGCAAAATCACAGCACCAGGTTTTGAAGGCAGGTCACAACACATGAGAAGGTCATGAGATTAAGTTTAATAGATTATGACCACAATTTTTAACGCAGGCTAATGGTTATCATCAAATTCCACGAGGACTGGAAAGATGGCTCTGTCAGCAAAGTGTTTACCATGAGAGCATGAATATCCAAGTTTGCCCCTCCCCCAGAATCCATACCCCCCCCCCAAAAAAAGCCTGGCATGGTGGCACATGCTTCTTATTGCGGCCCTGTATTGGTGAGATTGGTTCCTGGGCTTGCTGGCAAGCTAGCCTAGCCTAACTGGAGAGTTCTGAGCCAGTGAAGAACCCCTCCATCAAGGTGGACAGTACCTGAAGAATGTTACCTGAGGTTGACCTCTGGCACCCACATGCACACACAGGTGCACCCAACCCCCTACAAATACTCCCCCACCACACACACACACTGCAAACAGGAAGGTACCATTTCATGAATGAATTCCACATGTAAACATGTGTATCCTGAACCCTTATAGAAAATATGTCCTTCTGTGGACCCCCCATATGAAACATTGCTATATAAAAACAGATCAAATCTCATATATTGCTCACACACATACACACACAGGAGAGGAATTTCTAAGCACCACAGCCCTTAATGGAAATCAATACATCTTTCTATCACTTGCTGGCTCTTAAAAAGAAAGCCTGTCACAAGAATCAGAGAAACCAAAGTCACTTCAATAGATGGCTTTCTACAAAAGGATCCCCTGGGTTAAAGCACTCATGTCAAGATCCGTTCCACTTTCATGAGAACACCTTCCAGACCTGAGGAGAGCGGTACTGTCTAAATGTTCACTGCAAGTCAGAATACCTCTGTGTGCTCTGAGACAGTTATTAAGGACGAAAATATTCCTGTGCATATACATGTGTCCTTATCACAATTAAGGGCCCCCAAAATATGTACAGCGAGTCACAGAAGTTCCAGTTGTCCCAGAAAAGGGCCAACTTCAGACAATTTTAAAAGCAGGAAAAACTTGGACAGCACAGCTTAATGCCATTTTAAGGGAGGTTTCACCAAAGTCTGTTTTGTTTTCATGGGAAAAGACGGGCACTTGGGTGTAATTATCTGGTTTGTTTTTAAGACTATCATAGATGTTCTTATAGGAGGAAGAAGGTCAAAGATTAAGCCATCCATTTGTCTGTCCATGTGCTACAGCACATGCAAAATCACTGCATAAAGAAAACAGTGCCTGCTAGTGGGTCTCCCCTCCCTACAGAGCTGAGACTGAGCCTTCGTTGGCCTCACAAGCTCCACAAGCTGTGAACTTTCTCCCAGCCTCGCCTGTGTCTGCTGGCAGCATGCAATGGATTTTGAGCACTTCTTAATAAGAACCACCTACAACTCCCAGATATTTGGGCCCTTACTGTATTTCATTGCCAGCTGGTATGTAGGTGAGAGGACCCTGAAGAATGAGCACTCCATCCACTCCAGGATCAAAGCCAAATCAGGAGGAGAAGGGACCCCAGAGGGCGCTTCTCAAAGAAACAGCCCTTCTGAAGGAGGAGCTGTATTCATCTGAAGGTGTCAGCCCAGACTGCTGTTCATGACGTAAGTGTCCACTTAAGGGGGCCTCCAAGGAGAGATTCCTGTCTAGCCTTAGACGGTTTGCCCTTAAATCTTATAGACAATGAAGTGCCTGAACAGTTACTCATGAGCGACTAGAAAAATGCAGTTCTCCATCTGTAGTCTGTCTGATTGCGGTCACTCTATCAAGCAACACAGAGGTTATTAGTGCTGTATTGTTGGTACCACTGTATATCCTTACCCATTTTTCTTTTTAAAAACTGCTTATTATTATTATTTTTATATAATAATTGTTATTATTATTACTTTTCATTGAAATTTTTCAGAGTAAGCATGGGATGGAATTAAGTGAGAGAATGAACATACTCTGTCTATGTGCCAGGGAGGAAATGCTATCCTTTCCCCCAATCAGCTTTCACCCCTCCCCTAGACACATGCAGAGTGCACCCCCTGATCCCCTTATAGTATCAGCTGCAGACATGGTTCTTCCTCATTAACACTTTATCATGCCTCTTCTAAAAGCACAGATAATCTCTTAAACTCATCCACTCTATAATCTATAGATTCTTATACAATATCTCCAATCTTTTGAATTAAGGTCAAAAGGGAAAGCCAGGGATAACTTAATATTATCAAGTTGCTCTTTTCCATGTCTAGGAAAATTGCGGCCACAAGGTGGCAATGTACCACAGACATTCAGCAAAATGGTCCATGCTGGCTCCTCCTAGTCAGTGCGCGGAGAATGAGTGGCCACCCCCCTCAAAGCCATTGAGCGGGTTCAGGTCCACTCTACTTAGTTATTTTTTCTTAATTACTAGTGGCAGCTGCGTAAAACACAAATATTTATTGTTTAAGGTCCGTCAGCTTCTGCTACCCGTTTTTCATTCGCTTGCAGAATTACACTTAATTACTCTGGGGAAGAGTGCTGTATCACAAAACAACAGAGGGTTGAAAAGAAGTAGAAGAAGAAAAAGAAAAGGAGGCCTCTCCCAAGTAGGAATTATGTGACCTCTTTACATATTTTCAACAGTCACAAAGGACACAGGCATGTGGAGGGAAGAGAAGGAAATTAAAGAGAATGTGCGTGTGCGTGTGCGAGAGAGAGAGAGAGAGAGAGAGAGAGAGAGAGAGAGAGAGAGATACCTTTTCTTGGGCTCTT